GCCCATTTGGTGCAAAATAAATTTGAAATCAGATAAAGATATATATGGGAGCTATATCCAAATCTGAACCGATCTCGATAAAATTTGGCAAAGATATTTCTGAGCTGCATTTGATATATTTCCCCAAATATTGTTTTTACAGAGTGCATATTACGGCAGCGGAGGACAAAAATAACAAATCGGATTAACAATACATAAGGGAGCTATAGCTATATCTGAACCTATTTCGATCAAATTTGGCATACTTATTTTCAGGCCTAATTTGATATATTTCCCTGAATATCATTGTTACGGAGTGCATATTACGGTTGTGGGTAACAAATACTACAAATCGGAGGAACAATATATATGGGAGCTGTAGTTATATCTGAACCGATCTTCACCACATTTCGCATACTAGCTTCTAGTCTCAATTCGGTCGTAAGTGCCATTTATCCCATTTGGGCAAATATTAGACGTTTGGTGCACAATAAAAGGTAAATCGGACGAAGTTATGTATGGGAGATATATCCAAATCTGAAGAAATCTCGATAAAATTCAGCAAAGATATTTCTGAGCTGCATTTGATATATTTGCCCAAATTTTGTTGTTCCAGAGTGCATATTACGGCTGCGGAGGACAAAAATAACAAATCGGATGAACAATATATATGGGAGCTATAGCTATATCTGAACCGATCAATTTCGGCATACTTATTTTCAGGCCTAATTTGGTTGTATATGCAAAATGCTATACTATTCGGGCTGATATTACACGTTTGGTGCACAATAAAAGGCAAATCGGACGAAGATATATATCGGAGCTATATCAAAATTTTGACCGATTATCTCCAATTTCAATAGGGTTCGTCCTTGGGCCAAACAAATGATATGTGCAAAATTTCATCTCAATCGGATAATAAATAATAAAATATAAAAAATAGTAAAATAAAATCAACTCTGAAAGTGATTCTATGGAGATCCTCAAAAGTAACTATTGGTCTATTTCGCTTCCTTCTCCATGTTACAAACAAATGCACAAAGACATAATACCCTTACTACTATGTGGTGTAGGGTATAAAATCAGAGAAACCTACAATATGCTGGAATTGTCAGATGCATGGTCATGGTGCTGACCATTGTAATAGGAAATCAACTGATGAATGCCCTCTTACAAAAGATAATAAACGGCCCCATGTGTTCTCCTGTTTTAATTGTATAAATGCAGGTCAACCTAGATCGGATCATGCCGCGAATGATGTTAATTGCCCTATGCGCCAAAAATATATAGAAATAAAACAAAAAGTAACCGCAAATCAGAGAAATAGGCACACAGTTGTACGTCCCAGACAAGCACGTACCTCAGCAAATATAAACAACACACATCATGTTTCGCCGTTGCTTGCAAACAACAACAACTCAACAACCTATGCTTCGGCAGTAATCTATCCCAATCTATTTAACATTGATGAACTATTCAACATTTTTTTCTCTTCTCTTGATGACCTGTGCAGATGTACGTCCAAAGTACAAAAAATTCAAATTGTAATGTCTCTTTTAAGATATGCCTATGATCTTAAATAATGGCATAGAGACATTAAATATTTTACACTGGAATGCCAACTGTATTAATTCATATATGATACAATTACAAAATATTCTTAAAGAAAATAATGTTCACATAGCCGGACTAAATGAAACATTTTACAAAGAAAACCACAGACCATTTTTTGAAAATTACAACATTTATCGTAATGACCGAAAAAATAGGGTTGGTGGGGTGTAGCAATTTTACACAACACAAAAATGTAAGCCACCGTTTAAATATCATGTCCAATCATCGTGCCAGAAGGCGTTAAAAGCCTCTAGAGCCTTATGACCCTTCATGAATAGAAGATCCAAATTGTGCTTGGAAAACAAAAATTTATTATATAATGGTGTAATACGGCCAATTCTGTCTTACGCGTACCCTATTTGGAATAGAGCTGCGAAATCGCATATAAAAAAGTTCCAGATAATTCAAAATAAATGCCTGACAAAGACAAAACTGGCATTTTCCTACCCCTACGTTACATGAAGAAACAGGATATGAACTATTCGCCTATTTTATAAAACGCCTCAATGATAAATTTTTTATAAAAGTTTCGACATCTCGTTATTTTAAGATAAGAGAATGTATAGAAGAATTTTAATATATTTCATATGACATATTAAAATTATCAAATTGAAATTTATTGTATTTAAATTTGTATTTGTTATTTTAATCAATATATTTTCTAATTATATTTGAAATCTTTTTTGTAGTTCAAATATAGGTTTTGTATCCTTTTTCCTATAAATCAATTAAAATCAAGTGCTCTTATTTATAAAGTATTACATGAAATTTAATTGCTGTAAATCACTATGATATATCTTAAAAATTGTATTATAAGTTCCATAAAAAATAAATATTGGATAAATAAAATTGAATTGAATAATGGTAACGTTTTCATAAAAAAAATTGAGAAAAATATCCGGAAAAGTCACGGAACTGAAAAAATTTACTGTTCTATTTTCATATGGAATTTTTTGTTGAATTGTTTCAGAATGCCTTTCGGAATTAAAAATTAATTGGCATAGGATATTACACTGGTAAAAAATAAATAACTTACAACATGGTATTCTAAAAGTTACGAATTCAAATCTTTTGATTTGGAAAATATTGATAAGCTCTTTATAATACTGATAATTGAGGTTTGAAAATTTGATTAAACCCGATGATATAACGAGTATAAAGTAGTATTGGGAAATAGAAAATAAATCGTAATGTGGAATTTTGTTATAATTTTTTTACAAATGATTTATAAGCTCGAAAATGCTTTTCAGATCTTTAAAATACCTCGAATCGGCCAAATTAGAGTACATTTGGTCGACGAATATTAGAAGATAATATTATATGAGGGCAAATATATAATTTTTGTAACATCAATCGTCCTAAGAATAATATTAAAGCCTGTGCAAAGGTTGAAAGACGCATATTAAATGTGGTGACCTCTGTTGTAATTGCAAATGGTGAACGGAGAGGCTCACGGACATAATTTAATCGACAAAGATTTCTACTCTTTAGCATACTTTATGGAGTCCGTAACTTTTCTGTTATTTAGGTTTTTAACTGTCAAATTAAAACCTGAAAAGTGGGATCAGGTTCTTAAAAAGGTTTTTAAAAACACTATAAGTCGCTCGGTACGTGAACTTTATGGAGTCCCTAACTTTTCTGTTATTTAGGTTTTTAACTGTCAAATTAAAACCTGAAAAGTGGGATCAGGTTCTTAAAAAGGTTTTTAAAAACACTATAAATCGCCCGGTACGTGAACCTGTATTGACATTTATGTGATGCGTATTTATTTCTATTTAGTCGAATCATCATTTTAAGTAAAAATTATGCCACTTATTTGAGCCAGATATGACAATTATTATGCATTAAAGACAAAAACTACGGCCGGCAACGCGGATTGGGCCAGATAGTATTGATTTAAAAATTTTCAAAATGTTTGTTTTTTTCTATTAAAAATGCAAACATCGATTGAAAGTAATGCTGAAGCCGCCGCATCTTGGTTTGGTTATAGCACGTTAAGTACAACATTGTTGAAAATCATTGAAACAATTTCAGTGAATAATGTCGCTAAAATCGTCAAAATACCGAATATCGGGAGGTACCATTATATGGGGTCTATACCAAATCGTGGACCTATACATGTAATGTTTTGCCACCGGAGCTAGAACCTATTATGACCCACAAATACAAATTTTTAGACAAATCCGTAAAAAACTGTTGGAAAAATCATCAAAATACCGAATATCGGGAGGTACCGTTATATGGGGGCTATACCAAAACGTGGACCGATACATCTCATTTTCAATACCAATCCTGATTTCAACAGACAGACAGACGGACATCGTTAAATCGACTTAGAATTTTATGCTGATTATGAACATATATTCATTATGGGGTCTACGACGAATATTTAGGGATGTTACAAACGGAATGACAAAGTTAATATACCCTCCTTTTCAAGGTGGAGGGTATAAAAGTACCAAAGTGTCGACTACCTCAAGCAAGCGCTTCTCCAGGAATGGGCCAAAATACCGCAGAGCAACATTCGGGCAGCGTGTGACGCTTTCATTGGCCTTTTGAAGGTCATAATTCGTGCCAAAGTTGACCAATTCGAAAAAATCTAAACTTATTCGAAAATTGAATGCTATTTCACACTATCTTTCGAACGAATCAAGACATGTTTATTTTGCCAGTAGGCAGGTAAAGTTCGTAAATGGGCGATGTAGGTCCACGTTTTCATATAGGCCACACATAACGGTACCTCCCGATATACGGTCTTTTGATGATTTTAGCTACATTATTCAAAGAAATTGTTTCAAATTTGGTATTTGAAGTTCGAAATGGATACTACAGCCTTAGACAGAAAATTGGCTGTGCAGGTCTACGTCTTCGTATAGCCCTCATATAACGGTACCTTCCGATATTCGGTATTTTTATGATTTTAGCGACATTATTCACTTGAATTGTTTCTAATTTGGTATTTGAAGTTCGTAATGGAAGTTACAGCCTATGACAGAAAATTTTCTGTGCATGTCCACGTCTTCGTATAACCCCCATATAACTGTACCTCCCTATATTCGGTATTTTGACGATTTTAGGTACAATACTCACCGAAATTGATTGAGATGTCATATTTGAAGTTCGTAATGGATGCTACAGGCTGTAATAGAAGATTGTCTGTGCAAGTCCAGGTCTTCGTATAGCTCCGATGTAACGATACCTCGATATATAAATAGACCCATACCCATATATTTTCAAATGTTGTGTTGTCTGTTACCTTGGTATTATTACTATTATTTTTTTTTTTTTTTGATAACAGCAGTAATTTTCTCGTAAAACGAGAAAATGTTAACAGCACTTTTTTACATACATAAATAATTTGTCACATTCAAGGGAGTAATTTAGATTGAATATGTAAATTATCTTACCTTCGAATCTGGAAATTTGTAGTATCGCGCACAACTAATTGCATATCCATTGGCAATAGATCCTCCAGGGCAAAATATGCCATCGCCGTAGCCGTCATTGGGAAAGCCAACTATTCGTCGCATTTCAGACAATATTTCTTCTTCCATTATTGTGAAAACTGGGGCAACTTCATATGTATAGACGCTTGGATTTAGGGCATCTGTAAGCCATTGTCCTATTAATGCATATGGATCTACTCCTGAATACAGCTGATTTATAAAATAAGGATGTCCCGTCTTGACGGAATAATCAATTGTTTTCTTTAACAGTTTCAAAAGATTGTCATGAGATTCCGCATGATGCTTAAGTTTGAAGTCAAACAGAGATCTAAGCTCTTCTGGAGAATGCCATTCCACAACCCTGCTTGAACGCTTAGTACCACTGTAGACGGCTGAATTTATAATTTCCTCTATGCATTCATGTAGAAATCCCTTAACGTCTTCATTTGGATGACTTGGAATGAGCTTGCTTTTTTTTTTAATTTCCTCCTTTTTGCTACTCATTGCATTTTCTTCAAACAAAAATTGTTTATCAGCGTATACCTCCGTTAACTTTGAACCACTATTTAAAGAATTCGCAATGACATTGACATCTACATTCGCTATTGAGAGAGTAAAGACTCGTTAGATTGCGATTTGAAATAAAAAACAATATAATTGCCTTACATAGAGCAACATCGTGTGCCAACTTTTTTTCTCCGTACCCATCAGAGGCCACTTGGTCTACCTTTTTAAATATAGATTCGTTGTACTCATTAGAATCTTGATGTTGACGCGGATGATGGTGATGGCGATGACCATTTAAACTTTCGCTGGCAAGCATTTTGTATACCGTAATGTTTCGGTTCAGCACAATGTATTATACTAAATCGACGAAGGTATTCACTGTTATTCAGTTGCAATCCAACTGCATTCATCGGATAAAAGCTGTAGCTTTTATAAATACCATGCCATTGAAACCGGTAGGTAACATGAGTTATAAAAAAATTAATTATGTGAACATCATTGTGTGTAGTGATGTTTATTTATTCAATACATGTCATAAATTGGAACTGTCGAAATGTACAAACACATCAACAATATAGACTTTATGACGTAGTGATTTAATTCTGTTGTGGAAACCAAACACCTGCAAAGCAAGCTAAATTTAAATTAAATTCAATATGAAAGAAAATGAGCAGCAACAAACAATTGTGGTAGAAGTTTATTCATGTAACAAAATTTGCGGTAATTAATATAATTACAGTCTTAATTGCAATGAAAATGTAATGTTCTGAATTGAGGGCTTTAGTCAGCGCATTTGATGAGGAATGAATATCTAAAAAAATACATGAGAATTTTCATGAATGAAAAAGTTTGCTCTTCAAGCAATTTATACCCGTAATCTTTATAGTTACCAACAAATAAAAAACTTCAAAAACTAAGAACAGAATTAGAGTCAATATCGGTCCACTCCTTCTGTTACCTCCCCCTTAAAATGTCAACATTTTCAAAGAAAATAATTTACGGCACAGAAAGAGAGAGGATAATCAGATTTTGCTCCAACTTTGCAAATCCGAATATTTGCAACAGTGCTAGTTCAGGTGCGAAAATGGACAATATCGGTCAACTCCTTTCAGTACCTCCCCCACAAACGGTCGACATTTTGAATAATTATTACTTTTATAAAATGTGATGTAAGTGTCCGATTGTCTTAAAATTACGCACATCACAATCTTTTTATGAACCCAAGGTCTGGTGTGAAGATGGAATATATCGGTCTATTCCTTGTGGTACCTCCCACACAAATGTCAAAATTTTGAATATTCATGAAGCTTATAAAACACCAAATTAACATCCAATTCCATTCAGACTTGGCACATCTCAATATTTCCATCAACACCAGATCTGTAATAAAGATGGTAGATATCGGACCATTCCTTGTTGTACCTCCCCCACAAAGGGTGAAAGTTTTTAATGACCAAAACGATCATAAAAACCGAAATAAGCATCCAGTTCTCTTAAAATTAGACACACCACAATATTTTTATTAGCCCAAGGTCTGGTTAGCCTAAGGTCTGGTGTGGTGTGATATGTCGGTCTACTCCTTCGGGTGCCTCCCCAACAAAGGGACAAAATTTTGAATATCCATGAAGCTCATAAAACGCGAAATGAACCTCCAATTTTATTCAGACTTAGTACATCTCAATATTCCCATCAACACATAAAGATGGTAGAGATCGGACCATTTCTTCTGGTACGTCCCCCACGTAGGGGGATTTTGAAAAACCAAACGCTCAAAGAAAGCGAAATAAGCTTCAAACTCACTTCAAATTTTACACATATAAACATTTTTTTAACAAAAGATCTGCTGTGAAAATGGCATATATCTGCGAACCCCTTTTGGTACCTCACCCACAAAGGAGCCCAATGTTCAATACTTTTATCTGTTATGACTTGCGAAACAAGTCAGCGATTCTTTAGAAATTGCTATATATAAATATTTCTCCCTAACAATATTTTTATCTGTATTAGATGAAGTATGAAAAATGGAATTCTTCGGTCGACTATATGTGTTACCTCACGCATATTTCCACATTTTGCAAAATTTTGCACATATCTATATATATATATAAAAATCGATTGTTGTTCGTTGGTAATGGAATCAGTTGCGAACGACTGAACCGATTTGCATAATTTTTTCTGCGAGTTAGGTTTTTAAAGAACAAAATATTGACCACTCCTACTTTTATGCCCACTATTTCGATTTATCTAAAATCTTTATATTTGCCAAATAATGAAGAAATCGGTTTTAAAATTATTACACGACATACGACTTTCCCTCCAATCCTGTTTTCGATTCCGATCCGATTTTTTCGATTTATCTAAAATCCTAATTTTTCCCTAAATCATGAAGATATCTGATATCCTCCACGTAATTTTGATTCTGTCCCTCCAACCCTAGGTATCTGTTTGGGTCAGAAGAACTGGCCACACCTACTTCTTTAAATTTATATGTAAAAAATATGAAAAGGTATAGTAACACATCAGTTGAGAACGGCTGGGTCGATTTGACTTAAATTTTCTTTTGGTTATTTGTAATTACAGTGGAAACGTTGTCATGAAACAAAATTTTGAGAAAAATCGCGGAACTGAAAAAATTGATTGTTCTATTATGATATGGAATTTTGTGTAGAATTGTTTCAGAATGCCTTTTGAAATTGAAAATTCTTATTGGAAAAAACCGAAAAAATGGAGAAAGTTTGCATATTTTCTATACATGCTCTTATATGGTGGCCATACCCAAATTTTCAATTTTGATTAGATATGGAAATAATCCATCCAAAAGAATTTCAAAATGCATAATTCATTGGGACTTCAATCAGTGAAATACCGAATATGAAGAGGCACTGTAATATGCGGACTATACAAAATAGTGGAGTGAATTGAAAATATAGTAAGAAAAGGATTCATATACTCAGAAAATTCTTCCGAACCCTTAAAAGTAACATTAAATCATAGGTAAAGTTATACGGGCACTATGCGCTATCATCAGTAATTACACTGCGCCGCAGACAATGTTGGGGTTAGGAAGTTTTTCGGTTGGTAAATAAAAATCCCAAAAGAACTTTTTTAAAGTCCATTTTATATAGCTTAACCATAGACAAAGGGCCGCAAATGTTTTGCCCTATACTCCGCAAAAGTTACGATAAAGTTTTAAATTTGATACAGTCCTAGGGGTTACATGAGGAATCATTTGTACAAAATATGTGTCAGGTTGGTCTACATTGTGATATAGTCCCTTTCAAAATCCTCAAATGTTGGTAATTTGAGATTTTAGAAAGAAAAACACATTCTTTCAAATAATTATAAGTATAAGACCAGGAGGCTTTATTATAACTCTTATGTGAAGGTATCCGGTAATTTTTGCTATTACCAGGGTCTTGGTCACATATTTCAATTGATTTTGCCCTTATTTGGCATCTAGCTTCTGGTAGAAGAACACTTCGCGAAAATTTTTCAATGTCAATGTTTCGTAGTAGCGCTCATATAGAAGTACCTCCTGATTTTACCTATTTTAAGGGTTTTGGTTATATTTTCGAATCGATTTGACTTAAAATGTGTGTTTAGGCTACTTTGGGGGTAGAGAACCATCTTACATGGGCCTATTATAAACAGTTAATGTATACTTTTTAATATACATGCTATATACCTCTTACTGAAAAATGGGATCAGGTTTTTTTGAAAAACGCATTTATTTCTATTTAACCGAGTCATCATTTATACTAATAATTGTGACATTTATGTGAGCCAGATTTGTGAATTATTTTGCTTTAAAACTATGCATTAAAGAGAAACTTTGCATATATTCTATACAATTTTGATTAAAAAATACTTCTCAAAGCATCAACGTACTCTCAAATTGGGGCTATGCATATTGGAAAACAATAGTAAATAGTTGTTACCGGTAATGTTTTCACAATACTGAGAACTTCAAATGTCAAATTACAGTTAATTCGGTAGAAATAATAACAAAAACATACAAAAGGATGAATGTTTAGCGGCATTATTATAACTAAACGAAACAAATATATTTTAACATCCTAGGAATATTGTATAAATGTTCAACAATTGACCTAAATATTTCGCCTTTATTGCGATTTTAACGAGCGGCCACATATACGATGATATAACGAATATAAAGAGGTACTAAAATAAATCATATAGTAGACTTTTTACAGATCTTGCGTTGATGGAAATATTGAGATGTAATAAGTCTGAAAAGAATCGGATGTTAATTTCACATTTTATGTGTCTTTGAGGAGGAGATACCAGAAGGAATGGACTGACATATCCCAGCAGATCTTGTGTTAGTAGAAATAATGGGATGTGAAGAGAATCGAACTCTTACATCACATTTATAAGAACTATAGACCGATATTACCCATCTCGAACTCGATTTAAGTTTGATAATAACATTGCGATGAGTTTTTAAAGCATAATAATTCACACATCTGGCTCACATAAGTGGCACAATTTTTAGTATAAATGATGAATCGATTAATAAGAAATAAATACGTCTTTCAAAAACCTGATCCTATTTTTCAGTAAGAGGTTGTAGTTAAAAACCTAAATAATATAGCATATATATTAAAAAGTATACATTTACTGTTTATAATAGGCCATGTAAGATGGTTGTCTACCCCAAAGAAGCCTAAACACACATTTTAAGTCAAATCGATTCGAAAATATAATCAAAACCCTCGAAAAAGTTAAAATCAGGAAGTACTTTTATATGAGCCCTATTCAAAAACATTGACATTGAAAAATTTTCGCGAAGAGGACTTCTACCAGAAGCTAGATGCCAAATAAGGGCAAAATCAATTGAAAAATGTGATCAAGACCCCGGTAATAGCTAAAATCACCAGATAACATCACATAAGAGTTATAATGAAGCATGGTTCTATACTTATAATTGTTTGAAAAAAATTTTTTTTCTAAAATCTCAAATTACCAACATTTGAGGAATTTGAAAGGGGCTAAATCACAATGTAGACCAACCTGATACATATTTTGTACAAATGATTCCTCATGTAACCCCGAGGGCTGTATCAAATTTAAAACTTCATCGTAACTTTTGCGGATTATAGGGCAAAATATTTGCGGCCCTGTGTGTATGGTTAATCGATACAAAATGGACTCTAAAAAAGTTATCTCCGGGAACCCCTATTTTGGGATTTTTATTTACCAACCGAAAAAATTCCTAACCCCAAGATTGTCTGCGGCGCAGTGTAATTACTGACGATAGTCCGTGTAATGTTACCGATGATTTAAGGTTACTTTTAAGGGTTCGGAAGAATTTTCCGAGTATATGAATCCTTTCCTTACTATATTTTCAATTCACTCTACTAGTTTGTAAATTCCGCATATTACAGTGCCTCTTCATATTCGGTATTTCACTGATT